TTGTCATCAATACCATAAACATGGGACTGTTCCAATTCAATATATTGATACTTTCTCATCCAATATTCTTCCTTGACATTGTAGGCATATAAATTTCTTCCAGGTTTTGGACTTCTTGCATTATTGACATACCACTCTACCAAATTTTGAACTCTTCTTGTAGGATAAACAATTAGAATGCTTTCTGGATAGATGGCCCTTGTTGTTGATCCATTTTCAGCTGGTCTTTCGATTTCTCTACTCGGAACATAATACACAGCAAGTGAATGTTTCACTCCAGCTTTTGGTCGATTGATCTTTGCAAAATTCTCATCAGAATAAGATTTACAATCAATAACCATGGATTCATTGAATTCCAATAAAGTTTCCTCACCTTCCTTTGCAACCAAATGTCTACCCTGCTCATCAACCATCAACATTCTTAATTGATTCTGAAAAGTGGTGTAGAATCGTTGTTGGAAACACCAACATTGACTATCATTATCATAGCCGGCAATAACATGAGGAGAAGGATACTTTTCCAATAGGAATTTATAATCAACAAAGGTAGAATCAATCTTTGTTATGAGAGTGGTCGAAGAAGAGGCCATTATATGATTGTTTTGTTTTTCTTTTTGATGGTATTTCTTGATAATTTACGAGCTATTTATTTTTAGCATTCAGTTCAAAATATTGAATCTTCATAGTAATTGAACCTGACAGTTCCATGTTGAACCATATGGTTACAAATTCTTAGAAATCGTTGACTTAAAAAAGAGGGTTATCACTTAACTATTGCATGAATAAAGGACAACAAACACTTTGGAGGTTGAATCTGATGATTCAATTGTGAAAAGAAAAGTACAAGATAAGGAAGGAATAACCAGATCTTGCCTTGCGATTCAACACTAAATTTGCCAACCACTCTCAAAATATCGTACAAAAACAAAAAGAGTAAAAGACTACAGCACCACAGGTTCCCAAGTTGTCTCCAACCTCAGTACTGATGTGGCTCGACGATGCTTAACTTCTCAAATCGGACGGGATGAGGTGCATTCATCGTGATATGGCCGTAGCCATCCATAACCTCAAAAATATTCTGATGAACAAGCACTGTGATCCTGAGGTAAGTCCATGAAAATGTTGCAAGTTTGAATATATAGTTTCTCCTTTCAATCCATT